AAATGCTTTAAGGGGGGGGGGCTTGGGCCCATCAACCAAGGCTCAATCATGCAGATCCCCCTCGCCGTGTACTTCAACATTCTTACGTTTTGATTGTTTTCCTCAACCCTGCTCAAGTGAGCGCTCGAATGCTCGACAAAACCTGATCCATTATGTAGTATGTACAAAATATCAGAGAGAAAAAGCTTACGCCGGAAAGGTCTGTGTCTGTGGTTTCTGAGTGACCAGATGAAGGACACGATAGCTGCTCGACAGGCCGTAGCCACGTAGCGCCAACCCCGTCCCACCTCGTCCGCATTTACTATGATGCACTCTGCACAACAAACTGATGTTCAGAATCTCACTTGATGTTGATGTCCGTCCACGTGCTTCTGCAAAAGCCTTGCCCACCAAGCCCAAACCTTTTAGGATTCTATGAAGTCCCACCAGAGGTGAGAAGCGGTCTCTACTTCCGTCCCACATCTGCAGCATGTGGTATCTACTATCTATATCCAGTCTGTTGGCTGCCAGCCACCTCGCAGTGGGATTGCAGCCACATGAGGCTTGAGTCGCTTTATGCCTTAGCTGAAGGGATTTTGCGTGGATCCTTTCACAGTTTTCTGAGTGAGGCTGCCCTGATCTGAGAGACTGGAGCTGACCTCTCCCGTGACTTCTGCTAGCCATTTACTCTTGATTTTTTTTTAACTTTTTTTTTTTTGGGGGGGGGGAGCAGCTATCATGTCCGTCATCTGGTCACTCAGAAACCACAGACTTTTCAAATGAGGTGATAAGAGCAGCCCCATCAAATGGATCCCAGCGTTGATGGCTCCACATCTATTTGGTGGGTAGCGTCACCTGCTGGAAATCGCGTCCAGCATCCCTGTACAATGATATATGAATTGATTGTATGATGAGGCCATGCCACGCCTCCATTCCTGTGTAGATGCATCTGTATGATCCGCAAAATCCGTATTAGTGTATGAACTAAAAGCCCCCGGCATGCATAATCTCTATTACTATATGAGGCCAAAAGCCCCTGCCGTAGTGTCCACCCCATCCCTCCCCCGCAAGGTAGGAGGCATTGATTACTTCCCTAAACCAGGGAAGGATTGACCTCCTGCCAGCGCAGCCACAAACCTCACAACACACACGGCAAAAAAAAAAAAAAAAAAAAAAAAAAAAAGGTTAAGACGGCCGGCCAACCCCAATTAATCACAGGCCCATCATCTAACTTGAACCCAGCCCCACCCGACACAGGATGGGGAGGAACGATCTATGCGGGGAAGAATCCCATCCAATCGGGGCGAAAAACGAAATATCACAACCAACCTTTTTTTTTTTTTTTTTTTTTTAAGGTCCATGTGCAAAGCCTCCATCCTGGTGGTGGTAAGAGAACCACCGAGATTGAGGCTTTGCCTGGCGGGCCGCTCCATCTATTGGTGGGGAGCATCACCTGCTGGAAAAGCGGGTCCAGCGTCCCTTAGATACATCTTTTCATCATAGTAGATTGAAAGTGACGCCCTTGTGCTGGAAACCGGGTCCAGCATCCCATATCGAACTTTACTCTTCCACGCCTCTCCTGCAGCAGGGTCGGGTATTGGAGGGAGGCACTGGGGGCCACCAGTGGAGTCTCCCTCCGTCCCCTAATCCCTGCCATCCACCAACTATCCACAGGGTGCCACTAATGACAATATGCTGAAGGATTTTATGCTGAGAATCGGGCTCAGCGTCCCAAGAGAAAAAAGACAGTCTTCTCCATCTACTGGTGGGAAGCGTCACCTGCTGGAAACCGGGTCCAGTTTGCCATCTCAAGTCAATTCGCCTGCGACTGCTTACAGGCATTCCAAATACGGTTAGGGGTTCAAGCTTAGTTCGGATCTTGGGGGGTTCCTTGTCCAGCTTACCCCGTTCTCTCTTCGATATACACACATGATGCTGCCTATACATCTCAATACATTGATTCACAGAGCACACACAGCCTTCGGGCATATACATAGCTTGCAAATTATACATGGTCTACGGGCTACATACACAAGTTCCACACATAGTGCTGTCTGTACATCTTCATACATAGATACACAAAGCATACACGGCCTTCTGGTGTACACATACATTGCGAACTACACAACTATCAGACTGAGGGGGTCTAGTCACTGGGTGGGGTCTAGTATCTGCGGTAGGGACAGGTATGGGCCACCGGAGTTCCTACTGATATTCGGGTAGAACTGTCTAGTGGGTATATATAAGGCTTAGACCCTGGGGGAAGGGTAGGGGTATAAGTCGCTCAGGCCAGTCCGAGTTCCGCCTGGCCTTGGGTAAGCTAGGGGAAGGACGGTAAGACTGCTTCAATGGGTGCTACCCTGTCTGAAACCTAGGGCCCAGAGTCTCTTGGGGCCTGTAGAAGATTGTCTGGGCCTGGCGTCCGAAGTTCCCGTTCGACAAGGCTCGTCCGATTCCGCTTCCACCAGGGCTGGGAAACCTATCAGCCCATGTGCCTATCACTGCTGTTCGGTCCAAGCTGCCTAGTACCCATTGGTAGGGTAATGGTCCTGAGTGCTGGTCACACTGAGGTAGGATGGTGGGATAGGGGGTGCGCTAGGAGTATTGACGTGAGGATGGGATGGGAGGTGGTCTCATATTCCAGGACACCCACGGCCTACTGCTCCAGGTGATCACTGTGTACTCAGTGACTAGCCTCTACAACACCACGGCTGGGCACACATTCCCTTGGGCTGACGCACGGTAAGCTTATACAGGCACTGCCTGCGCACCACCCAAGGGTTGTCCATGGTGTTGTATGTCGGGTCTCCATACTGCGTGGGTTGCTTTTGGCTGTTGTTCGTGGTTGTTCTGTTGATCTCCATGGTCTGGCATATCACACACAGGGGCCATTTGCGATTGTTGCTCAAATGTTAGAGTCTTCAGGTCACATGTCATAGATCACGGGTTCGAGTCTGGCTTGGGACTTTGGGGGGGGATCTTGTCCAGCTTGGCCTGTCATCTCTTCAAGCGAATAAATAGTTCCCTCTATATAGCACTGCACATATCTCGCCTTCGGGCACATACATCTTTGTATGCAGTTACACAGAGCACACATAGACGGCACATATCTGGCCTCAGGGCACATACATCTCGCACAGAGCACACATAGACTGCACATATCTGGCCTCCGGGCACATACATCTCGCACAGAGCACACATAGACTGCACATATCTGGCCTCCGGGCACATACATCTGGCACAGAGCACACATAGACAGCACATATCTGGCCTCCGGGCACATACATCTCGCACAGAGCACACATAGCCTTTGAGCAGATACAAAACACATGGCCCTGTGGGCCCATACAAACATACATAGCCTAGCCTAAGGGATATAAGTCACTCCGGCTAGTCTGAGCTCCGCCTAGCCTTGGGTAAGCTAGGGGAAGGACGGTAGGATGTGTCCGCGGGCGTTGGCCTCCCTTGCTTAGGTAATCCTGCTGGGTAGACTCTCTGAATTGGGCCTGTAGAAGATTGCATGAGCCTGGTGTCCGAAGTTCCCGTATGGCAAGGTAAAAAAAAAAAAAAAAAAAAAACTTCTAGAAGGCTCATCCTTTTCGAGATGGCGAAAGATACAGCCAGCATATTTTTTTTGTCTTTTTCACATTTGGAAAGAAACACCTGCCATTCTTTTTTTTTCTTTCTTTTCTTTTGCTTTTATAGGACGCCCAGGTTGTTGTGGTGTGGCCGAATTCCACACACACGCCGACACCAGCCATTTTTTGTTTATTTTCATGTTTTCACTTTTTTTTTTTTTCACATTTTCACATTTGGCAAAAGCCTAAGGTTAGTGGTGTTGATAAGAGCAGACACCACTAGCACCTGGGGAGAGGCTCCATCTATTGGTGGCGAGCATCACCTTCTGGAAAACGGGTCCAGCGTCCCATATACAAGCATATCAGGAAAAAAGGTTGTGGGGGATTCCTGCCAGCATTGATTACCCTGGGATCCAGGGGATTGACTGAGCAGGATATATTGGAAAGAGGGGGGGAGATGGTGTAGTCTTGGTGTAGTCTGCTTCTACTCTCCCAAACCCACCCGTCTCTTTCCATTCTATCCTTAGCCCGTAAGCATCCCCCACAATGCAATAATCATCACAGCCATTCCGTCACATGGACTTGAACCCGGGTCGCCTGGGTGAGAGTTGTTTGTTTTCACATTTCCAGATTGAGTTTTCACATTTGGCAAAAAGCTGCAAAAGCCCAAGGACAGCATCCCACACAATGCAATAATCATCACATCCATTCCGTTGCGGGGACTCGAACCCAGGACGCCTGGGTGAGAGTCGTTTGTTTTCACATTTGGCAAAAAGCCGCAGAAGCCTAAGTCCCCAGGACGCCTGGGTGAGAGTTGTTTGTTTTCACATTTCAGATTGAGTTTTCACATTTGGCAAAAAGCAGCAAAAGCCTAAGTCCCCAGGATGCCTGGGAGAGAGTCGTTTGTTTTCACATTTCCAGATCGAGTTTTCGTATTTGGCAAAAGGCTCAGACACTGCATTCCGACACATCATGTGTATCAGCTTAGGACGCCTGGGTGAGAGTCGTTTGTTTTCACATTTCAGATTGAGTTTTCACATTTGGCAAAAAGCAGCAAAAGGCTCAGTCCCCAGGATGCCTGGGAGAGAGTCGTTTGTTTTCACATTTCCAGATGGAGCTTTCACATTTGGTGTTTTCACATTTCCAGATCGAGTTTTCACATTTGGCAAAAGGCTCAGACACTGCATTCCGACACATCACGTGCATCAGCTTTGGTGGAAGACGGCATCCTCCACAATGCAATATCATCATAGCCATTCCGTCGCCGGGACTCGAACCCGGGTCGCCTGGGTGAGAGCCAGGTATCCTAACCAGACTAGACTACGACGGAGATGAACAAAGAGCTGGCTGTCCAATATAAATTGGCATCAAGCTGGCGCCGGTTCTACTGGTTTGTCGCTAAAGATGAGTCCTAACGCCACTGATTAAAGTTCATTAAACTGAGCAAATGCCCTTTTTTTTTTTTTTTTTTTTTTTTTTTTTTCAAATGCTTTTGACAAGGACGAGAGAAGAGAACTGATCAAATGAGTAGACTTGTGCCTCACACGTCACTCGAATGCGACTTCACAATTGAAGACAATCGATGGAATCACACAGAGATGAACTCAGGTAAGTGAGGTAACTACTCTTCTTTTTTTTTTTTTTTTTTTTTTTTTGGGGTGGGGGGGGGGTGTTGGGACAAAATGCTCCACTCTATTTGTGGGGAGAGCGTCCCAACTCAGGTAAGTGAGCCAACTGCCAAATGAATAGACTTGTGCCTCCTTGTGCATGCAAGCGCCAGTACAGGGGCACCTGGGCCGCGGGCCTGACACCTCAAATTCTGGAAGCGACACACAGTGTCATTTGACACTTGAATAGTAAAACAATACGGTCCGGCGGGAATCAGCACACCGACGACAACAAGCCAAGCTACGGATTCATTTTATCGTTCTATCTCAGGGGACGGTGGACCCATTTTCCGGCAGGTGTAGCTCCCCACCAATAGAATGGAGCCCCCTGCAAGACAGGGGTAGGAGCGTATGCCCTTTTCATCACTCCTATCTGTTGACGCGGGATGTTTTCTCGAGAGGAAAAAAAAAGGCCATTGGCAAGCTATGGATCACCCTCCACCTACTCCAGTGTAATCGCATCAAACCGAGCAAGAGGGTGCTGGTGATCATCCAAACCGGTTTCAGTAAAACCGGGTGGGGATCTGCATGCAAAAAACACACTTCAAACTTGAGCAGTTTTCCAGCAGGTGCTGCTCCCCACCAATAGACTGGAGCAAAAACTTGTAAAACAACATAGTCCGGCAGGGATTCGCACCCGGACCCATTTCAACGGCCGCCATGTTGTCTCATCAGGAGAAAATTCACTAACCTTCACCCCTCACCCACATCAACAACATATTCCATTCGCGCGCTGCGGTCACACTTTCTTTGAAAAAAGCAAAACCCGGGTTTGCTAGGGGCGCTGCTCCGGTCACGCTAACTTACCGTCGTTGTCAGTTCTGGAAATGACGAACCGAAAGTGGCTCTAGTCCCGCAAAAAAAATTCCATCTTAAAGTTTCTTTTTGGGGTGGGTTGGGGTTGGTAAAGGACGAGTACGGCCTGGTTCCCAGTTTGTGCCAATTTGTGGGGATATGGTTGTATCTATGGGACGCTGGACCCGGTTTCCAGCAGGTGTTGCTCCCCACCAATAGATGGGGCGAGTTAATCTCTTGGTGGGGGGCTGCACCTGCTGGGAATTGGATCCGGGATACCATTTAAGTTGATTCAAACCGCTAGGTTGTACACGGCCCCAGCCGTGCAGAATTTTTTTGTCGCCACAAGCAAAACTCAGAAGCACCCCGCGGCCAGGTCCGCCGTTGAAAAAAAAAATCGGTGGCCTCGGAAGTGGTGTGGGTTTCGTCCTGACACCCGCGGGCCTATATGTGGTGTACTGGTGCTTTAACTCTTGCACTTTTTCTCTGTGAGATGGAGATAGGGCCCAGCATGTCGAGCATGTCGAGAAGTCGAGATTTTTTTATTTTTTTTGGAGATAAAAACGAAAAATTTGAGATCATAGTTAAGCGAGGAGAGCACCTGTATACAAAAGGCGCTTGGCATATTTAGGGAAATTGGGCCCAGCTTTAGTATGGAAATCGGGCCCAGCATCAGTATGAAGGGTAACTTTTTTTTTTTTTTTTTTTTTTGGGGGGGGGGGGGGGAGAGGTCGGGGGGCCAAGTAGGTTGGAGTTGCACCCAACGTCCGGAATAGGGGCAACATTAGCAGTTCCCATAATTTAATGGAGCAAAAAAGGAGACCCCTAAATATGCCAAGCACCACTGGGGGTATAATGACTGGTGGTGCAGTTTTAAATTTTAATTTAGTCGCCCGCTAAACGTTTTGCACATTTCGAAACTCACACGATGACATTGGGCGTCACTTTGTCTTGTCTTGCCCCTATTTCAAACTAGAAAGTGTGTCACAGACTCACAGCCACATTTCCCCCCCCTTCCTTTTTTTCTTTTTTTTTATAATGAAGAGTAACTGCATATGCAGTACATTTGTTGTTAAAAAAAAAAAAAAAAAAAGTGTATACAGCCGCTATTACGGTAGCTCAGTGGTTAGAGCACCGGTTGGAAATGTGCATTGTGGTATAAGGTTGCGGGTTCAAAACTCAATTGCAGCCTTGCGCATGGACACCGGCAGGGCGTTAGAATGATGCACGGCTGGACGCACATCCCCTTGGGCTGACGCATGGTACTATTACAGACACTGCCTGCGCACCGGTAGTCCACGGTGTTGTATGTTGTTTGTGGGTTTCACAGGGTTTGCTTGGGGTGTTGGTCTCGGGTGTTCTGATGTTCTCCCAAGTCTGGCATATCACACGATCATTCCATTTCCGGTAGTTGCTCATACGGTAGGTCACGGGTTCAAGCTTGGTTCAGTCCTTGGGGGGGGTCCTTGTCCAGCTGGCCCGTTCTCTCCTCTATAGATGATTCACAGAGTACACATAGCTTTCGGGCATACACACATAGCTTGCGAATTATATATTGCTTACAGGTTACATACACAAGTTTCCACACATGATACTGTCTACACAGATTCTTCACAGAATATATACACAAAAAACAGGCTGGAGAGCTAGTCACTGGTGGGGTCTAGTGCCTGCAGTAGGTTCAGGTAGGTTGGATAGGGTGCCATTGGGTGCAGTTCCTGTCTGGGCCTGGCGTCCGAAGTTCCCGTTCGACAAGGTTCGTCCGATTCCGCTTCCACCAGGGCTGGGCAATCTATCAGTCCTGGTGCCTATCACTGCTGTTCAGTCCAAGTTCCCTAGTACCAAATGGTAGGGCAATGGTCCTGAGTGCTGGTCACACTGAGGTAGGATAGTGGGATAGGGGGTGCGCTAGGAGTATTGACGTGAGGATAAGATGGGAGGTGGTCTCTTATTCCAGGACACCCACGGCTCACAGTTCCAGATGATCACTGTGCGCACACTGACTGGCCTCTACAACACCCTGGACTCAGCCTGAGGTTGAAGGCTTGAGGGCCTTGAGGCCTAGCAGTCCCTGCAGTTTTTCAGTTCATGATTTTATGCTGGGTGTTGCCTTGGGCACTGGGCCCTATAATAAAGGGGAATGTTTGTCTTCTACACAACTGAGCGTTTTTTTTTTCTCTTTTTTTTTTT